TGTAATTTAACTTTAAAAAACACTCTTTGTTTGTTAATTTATAACTAACGATAGCTTCTAATGAAAATACGTTCGGCTGCTCGACCTTGAGATTGCCAAACACAATCCATTAGATGATGGACTCCCCAAATTTGGGGTAGCTCTCTATTTAATGGCTCTTTTTCAATATAATTCAAATTGTTAGAAAAGGGGAGGCGGGGGGGAACTCTGGCTTCTAATTACTAGTGTTTGAGGACTAACAACTACAAATCACAATCAGGGAACCAAAGAGGAATGGCTAAGATGCAACAGAAGCTTATCTTACACATACGATATTGAAAGCACCGTCGAATATCATCGAAACCTTAGCAAGAAAGCCTATCTAGCTCTGATTTACAGGTACTAAACCAGAAACTGCAGTTAATTTTTCTGCATTGTCACTGTTTGCTAAGCCTGATTTTCAGTTCCAGATGGAATTTCTCTAACATAAATATTATAAACATTTGATTTTATGGCAGCGGGGATCATGACATGTATGTCCCATATGTGGGCACAAACGAATGGATCGAGTCGCTGAATCTGACAATTCAAGACGAATGGAGGCCATGGTTTGTTCAGGGTCAGGTTGCAGGGTTAGTTTTTCTGAGGTTTCATTTTTCCTTTTTGTTTCGGCAATGAATATATCATAAAAGTGTTTTTTTAAGTCGATTTGCATGAAAAGAACAGGTAAAAATGTCTGCAAAATACCTTTAATGAATCCTAAATCCCCCTTCTATATTGATTCATTAATGGTATTAATTAATTTAATAAGTATTCCTGCACATTTTTATGCAAATTAACTCTAAAATATATAACTTAATTTAGGTAATTCTACTTTAAAATACAAGTTAAGAATATATTTATTATACTTTTTTATTATTAATTTGTATAAAAATTTATAAAAGTAAACTTTATTTTCAACACCAATATCATGTGTGAAATATTTTAAATAAATGATTGATAATACTAATATCAACTTTTACTTTTTATATAAATTAATTGTAAAAAATATAATAAATATACATTTAGAGTATATGTTAAAAAATTCTTAAAAAATATTTTAGAAAATTCCATAATATGATAGCGAATGATAATCTGCTTGTTTGTAGGTACACAAAGATGTATAAACAAGAGAGATATTATCTTACATTTGCAACTGTAAAGGTGAGTACAATTATCATCCCACTATTTTATTTTAATTTGCAATTTCAATAATGAGACGAAACTATTCTTAAAAAGAGAAATAATAAAATTATATTGATTGGGTATAATTTTGCATTGCAGGGAGGAGGTCACACGGCTCCAGAGTACAAACCAGAACAATGTCTAGCCATGATAGATAGATGGCTTTCTCATTACCCTCTCTAGTTTCCAAGTATCAATTTGAGCTATTGTCATCCAAGTTGGTCCTCAATGCAAAGAAATAATAACTAAGAAATAATTAAGAGAGTATTACCTCATATATGTTCTCCTTTCGTAATAAATAGAGCATGTAGAAAGTGAAGGAGTTTATTTGATTCACTGTAACATTTTGCTAAACCAAAACTCTTCCCTAAAGGACCTTGTATTTTTGTTTGCGTGTGTATTGGACATTTCAATGAAATACAGTATCTTTACATGAACTCGCTAAGGTCGTGTATATTTTACTTAAAACCATAAGCATAAAAATCAATCAAAGGATTACGAGAAATTGTTTTATGATTTGGCTTACTGGTGTGGTCCTGGTTGCTCTGCTTTCGTTGACCCTGTTTACGAGATCGGTACATTAAGCTAGCTAGAGAGTTTCACTTCTCATAGAGACAAGCCTCAAATTGTTTATTTTCGGCCAGGGATGGAGTCAAGAAATTTAGTTAGAGGGTGAAATTTATTGTTGAAAATTTAAGTTTTCAAGAGTATCTTTTATGACAATAAATTTTTTTCCCTATAAAAAGGTATACTTGTTGTCTTTTTTATTGATATATTCTTAAAAAAAATTAGAAATAAATGTATTTTTTATTTATAATAAAAAAGTAAAATATCATAGTAATAAATTTTGCAATAATCAATTGAAGAATGAATAAAAAAGAAAAGAGAAAAATGTGTGTTTGTTAACTGAATTTTTAACAAATTATGAAAAAAAACACCACAAAATTAAATCATTTTGATAAACTTGAATCCAAAAAGACAAAAACAGTATGTTCTTAAAGTTGGAATGTAAGTGTTTTGATTTTATTGAAGTAATGTAGTTTTAAGGTGTTTTTCCCTTAATTTTTTGGAGATCATATTGACAAATACTAATATTATAAAATAAATACTAGAATATTTCTTTTAGAAAATAAACTCTAATTTAGATTGATTTAACAAAAATAAAAGATTATAAATTCAATCATAAAAGGTAAAAATGTACCTTGATGTCAAGAGGAAAACACTTTAAACTTTTACATAGAATATTAAGAAAAAAATAAAAGAATATTAAAGAAAACTATAAATTTAAAGCTGTTTAAATAGATAATCAAAGTTTTTTTTTTAGGGCTTAATAGATGAAAAAATGTTTAAGAACCCTAATTCTTAATTAATTAATTGACATAAATTCATTTTACTTGCATTATATCCTTATTTTTTGAAAACTTTTCATTTAGATCCTAAATATTTTCTCTACATTTGAAACAGTCCCTGAAATTCATACTATAAAAACAAAATTTTTAACAAATAAAAGTTAGAGTACCACATTAAATGTTTTTCAAAAGCTTGGCTCAATGCACTCCAAGAGAGGGGTGAATTGGAGTTCAAAAATTTTCATCTCTTTGCAACCACCAAACTAAAATTAAAGAAAATAGGAAAGAAGAGTTTGCACAATGATTTTATAGAAGTTCAATGCAACCACTTAGAGCTTAGTCCTCTACCTTGATTTCACTCACCAAGGATTTTCTCCACACTCTCCATTATGAAGAACAAGGGTGGCTTAAAGGAGCCACTCAATTCTTTTACAAGAAAATGAGTATTTCTCTCAAATTTCATTCCTTTACAAGAAAAACCCTAAAAATCCTCTCCACAAATCACTCTTGAAAGAATAATCGCACCCCCAAGAAAACTCACAAATAGAACAGGAGGAGAATTACAAGCAAAGATTACTCAAAGATCAAAAACTCAAGTTAAAGCACAAGTTGGTAGATAAAGATATTCAATACAATGCTTTTAAACTTGTTCTAAATCTTTTACCAACCATATTTATAGCCCCTTGGTAAAAAATAGTCGTTTCTAGCCATTGGGGGTCATTAAATGCTCTGCAAGTCGTATAATTTCGAGTAGTAGATTTGTCAGCAAAGCTAACTCTGAATTTGCAGTCAGCTTATTAGAGCTGGCTTAAATTTCTAGAGTCGACTTTACGGGTTTCTTGCACATTATGTTTTCTTAAAGAACCAACTGCAAAACGTAAAGCCGGCTTTGGAAATCTAACTTTAAAATATTAAAGAATCTTTTAATAATTTGACCGTTGTGCATTTAATGCACCATCATAGCCAACTACAAAGTTAAAGCCAGCTTTGACTCCATTTTCCGCGCGCGCCAAAACACATGGTTGAATTTTTGTCCCACATAGCTACCTGCAGCTTTTAGAGCCAACTCTCTGCAGTTTTTGCCTTCTAAAGCCAGCTACAGGTTTCTTTAAGTTGGCTCTTTGCACAACATCCAGCCTTTTTGGTCCATTTTTAATGCAATCCTAGTTTACTTACTTTGTAATCTTTAAGTAATTTAACTACACACTCAAATGAACCAATTTGTCACTCAAATGTGATTTGTAATCATCAAAATCATAAGTACAACACTTAGGAGGCATGGCTGCCCCCTCTTGTCCTTCATTGGCTATGTCCCTCTTTCAGCTCAACTAATGTTTTTCTTTTGCAAATGTTTATATAGTTCCATTAAGGGTATGTTTAGTTTGAGGCGAGGAGAGAAGAGGAAGAGAAAATGAAATTATTTTTCTCTCATTCTTCCGTATCTTTCAAACTAAACTTATTTTAAAATATCCAAACCCATAAACTCAGTTGGTTCACCTCTAAATCTAAGAGTTTGGGGGTATGAGAGTGGGAGGTTCTACTCCTACCAATCACTTGTTGAAATTACCCCTTCCCTAAATTCCTCTCATGTTCAAAAAAATATATATAGGTTCACTAAAATTCAACTATTCAAATTCAAGTGGGACAGACCAATATTTGAGCTAAACACTTACTCATGAACAAAAGATGACTTCATTATATGCTTATTAATTTGGCCAAATTGGGAGATCCTCAAAGCTCAAGCTTAACTTAACTTACGAGTAATGTTATTACCACACCCTCAATTATTAATGATACACTTTTTAATCTCAATTGATTATTATTCTCTTTAATTTATTAAAACATAAAAAATGTATAGTTTTAAAAAAAAGTGTAATATAAGGATATAATAGATAATTATACTAAAAAGGTGTGATATTAACTATTTAAAATGTGATAATAACCTCACCATCAACTCACCATTAAGCTTTAAAGACTTGACTAGGTATGGGTGTATAAGATAAAAACAGTAATAGAAGAAAAATGTTCTACCGAGAGTCGAACCCAGGTCGCTGGATTTAAAGTCCAGACTGCTAACCACTGTACCATAGAATCAATTTCAATTAAAATTTAACTGCATATACTAATTTTGCAAATAGCAAACACATCAATTCGATGCCAAAGCA